AATTAAGTATTTGAATTGGTCTTTAGGTTACTCAGCAGTTGGAGAATATCTGTCTACGGATCATTGATCTTGTTTTACATAAGCATGTAATTGGTAAGTTCAAAGGCTGGCTACAAAGGTAAATTGAGTAAAAATGTAAATTTTTGTTAACTTGACAAGCATAAGGTGCAGTTTCCAACTCTTCAGAGCCAACCCATGGGGCTCCCGAGAGAAAAAGAAGGAGCCCTGGCGGTGCTCTTGGGCCCATGCTGGACTGTTGACTGCAAACTCACCAGCTGCTCTGGGAGCAGGAGGAGGTGTTTCACATCAGACATTACAGCCACAGAAACCCCGGAGCCAGCTCGATGTCAGGGGATCTGGTTTTGGTTTAAAGAAAGGGAACCTGAAATGCTCATCAATTTTTGAGTATACAATTGACCCTTGAATTCGGTGGAGGTCAGGCATGCTGACAGGGTGGCCTGCAGTTTGAAAATCCACATGTAACTTCTGGCTCCCCAGATACGTAACTACTTTAGTCCACTGTTGACTAGAAGCCTTACTGATGAAGTAGAGTCGACGAGCACCTGTTTTGTAATAAGGATTTGCGTCCACATAAAGCTGCAGTCTCAGTATGAAATAAAAAGGTGCCTCGCAAAAAGCACAGTTTCTGTCCTGATGTGGTGGTGTGGCTGAGGCATTGCGCTGTTAACTGCCAGGCCAATGGTTTCAACCCGCCAGCTGCTCTGTGGGAGGAAGATGAAGGCGGTACTCTCATAAAGAGTGGCAGTCCTGGCAACCCTAGCTAGAGGTCACTGTGAGTTGGAATGAATTCTAAGACAGTATTTTCCTTCTTCTTTCCCCCATCAATTTCTTTTTTTAAAACTAATGGTCCATAAACTGGATGATAGATTTAGTGTAAATGGCGAGCAGCCACACTGCAGACCTGAAGCTATGGTACATATTACACAAATCGATTTCATGATAACATGAGTTTTCTGGGGAATATCTCCAGCAACAGTAGTGGCACTTCCTATGCGTCCTGTGGTGGTATTAAAGCTAATGGTGTTGCAGTAAACAGGGTCACATGGGTCTGCACAGTTCACAGTCCCGCTGTTCAAGAATCAGCTGTACTCGGTAATGTTCAGAACCAAACCCACTGCTTTCACGCTGTCCGGTTCACTGGACCCGATACAGGGTTTCCCAAGCTGCAAATCCTTCCGGGTGCAGATAGCCCATCTTTCCCGTGCGGAGCTCGGCGGGGTGAACCAGTTTGCCGTTAGCAGTCTATGCTTTCCCAGCAGTGCTACCAGGGTCCTTTGCTTTCTCTTGTTAGGTGTGAGCTGCATTTTCATTTAGAGATTAACAGAGAACATACCTGTTGAGAAAGTTTCTGTCTTGGGAGTTTTAAAAGCACATGCAATTTTAAATTACAGATTTTGAGAAGTAAAGAACTGGTGTGAAGTTCAGATACGGTTTCTTCAAGCTGAGGTTGAAAAATATGAAAGGATACTTCATGTCAGAAATAATGAACTAATTATTTTCTACTTATCTATTGTTGTGCCTCAATTCTGAATAGAATCAATAACCAGGGCTAGATGATGGGAATTTTGTAGGCGAGGCCACTTTTCCAGAGTCCTCAAGCATTTTGAAGATAGCAGCCCCTGCTACTGGGTGCCTGAGGCAGATGTGCACTGTAGTATGCAGAGCAAGGTTCAAGAAAGGTGCTGCTACTTGAGAGCCGCTAGCCCCAAGCTTTTTATTGCCCTCCCTTTAGTAGAAAACTGGGCATGCATTTCTAATACTGGTGGAAAAATGTACATATTTGTAAGTACATTAGAAATGGGGGATATGCATGAATATGTAGCCTATATCTTCCTCTGTAGGGTCTTTGTCTAACTTTTGCTGTTTCCTAGTATCTAACTAGAATTTTTTTTCTTTTCTAGAATTTTATGAAGAAATTCTTTCACTGGCATATAGTTTAACTTGTCATAGTATTTCCCCTCAAATGTGGCAGCTTTTAGGTATATTATATGAAGTTTTTCAGCAGGATTGTTTTGAATATTTCACAGGTATGGTTTTAGTGTATTTTTGCTTTTGTATGTCTAATACTATTTCTTTTGCCAATTTTAATAAAGACATATGAGTCTCCTATAATCAGAAAATAAGTGTCCTTTTTCCTCTGTCCAGTAAAGGTGAGGCTAATGTAACAGTATGTCTCCATGCTAGGTGTGTAGGTAATGGAAGGTATTCAGCACTTCTTACTATGTCTTAAATTAGTTTTCAGCCAGAGTATATCTCTGCAGTAATTCAATAATTGTTTTGTGTTGTTTTTTTTTTGCTATCTACCATAGTCCAAGTAGTAGTCTAAGCTATGTGACCTAATAATGAACAATATAGGCAGCTCTTGCCCTTTCGTAGTGGAGGGAGTTGGAAGGGTGAGAAGCACTCAGATAAACAAGCAAGAAAATATACACAGTACAGGCAGCCCCTGGAGTATAAATGAGAGCCTTTCTTAACTGGATTTTTAAGAAATTGTAAGCCAGTCAGAATACAGGTGCAAAGAAGGAAATCCCCTTTAGTGATTTTAAAGCACATGCAGCAAGTATAGGTGATTGTGATGAATTTGTTGTCAGTATGGGCTCAGTCATTTCAAAGTAAGAGTGACATAATATTAAAGGGCATGTAGGAATTGTCTGTGAGTTGGACATTTGTCACCTGTGTGACAGATGGTGAGGAATGCTATGAAGAAGAAAATATTCAAAGTAATTAGTAAATACTGAGCATACTAATTTTTTGACTCACATTTTACTCAATTATAAGTAAGGTAGATTTAACCACTTTTGTTTCTAATATTTTGTGGCTTGGTTGCAAGGGAATATCAATGTATGACTGCTATAGAAGTGTGATTTCAGTGGGAATAATTGAGTTCTACTCCTGTTACTCATTTCTCATCAGGATTTTAAATTTCTTTTCCAGACATGATGCCTCTCCTGCATAATTATGTGACAATAGATACAAATACTTTGCTATCAAATCCAAAGCATTTAGAAGTACTTTTTACAATGTGTAGAAAGGTAAGTATGCCTTAATCAGTTGTGTAGTTCTTGTGAATGTTTGAGACATTTTACTTCAGAAGCTTTCAATTTGTTAAGCATTGAGTTTTGAATTGCCCCCATCATAATACATTTATCATTTGTATTTTCAAATGGAACTTGGATATTTGCAACTGTTGAAATCTGGAACTTTCATGTTGTCTACTTTGCTTAATAATGCTCACCACTTTTTTTTTTAAGTGGCAGACAGGATTTATTTTGATTCTTCCTAAAGAACCCATAGCTCACGATGTATATGTGGATTGTGATAAGAGTTGCACAAGCCCCTAATAAAATGATTTACCAAAAAAAAGAACCCATGGCTACAAGTCCACGAGTCTGTAACAGTCCCATGTTCTGTGCTGCAAGCCCCCGTCTGTGACCAATAAACAAAGTTCAGTCAGCACTCCAGAAGACCCTCTTGCGTGCAGTATGGGTGTACGCGTGCCAGCGCCACTCAGCCTCCGTTGTCTCCCGTGCCAACACGCCCAGGCGAATCACATACAACTTTAGCTCAGTGCGAGGTCCAACTTCAGTCAGCTCACAAGTGGCGGTCCACCTTGTAGGTGCCGTGTCGGAACGAGACGTAGCCATCCTCTTTGCAAAAGTGATGCCCCTGTGGCTGTCATGTTTGGGGACCGGGAGCACGTATTTCAGGATGGCAGAGCTCCCTTTGCCCATGCGGCAGGAGAAACCGCGCCCAATGAGTGGGCCTTGGCTTTTGACACTGTGCCCAGGTCAGGGATGCCATTGCGGCAGGACGACGTTGCAGGGTGAAGTGTGCGGTGGGGCCGAACGGCAGGTGGCTGGCAATAAGCCCCACTGGCATCCATGGGGCTGGTGAGCCACCGGCAGGTTGGTTACTCCATGGGCTTTGCAGGCTGGCACTAGCGCGCCCACCTCCTGCGGGAACTGGGATCTCAGGAGGTGGTGATGGTGATCTTGGGGTGTTCCACCCCTGCCCATCGATATTCATCATTCACATGGCTGGTTACCCTTTCACCACCAGCTTCATCAACCTCCAGGGCAGTCCGTGTGGACTTTTTGCACCGGCTCAACTTGGCGTAAGGTAGCCCTCCATCTGCCCTCACACAGGAAGGTTGGTAGAGGTTCTGTGTCAGGCTAATATCCTTTATCAAAGTGGTTGCCATACATTTTTCACTTCCTTTCATCCTCACCGACTTTTATAGCTGTTTGTTGCTAGTTTCTTTGATTAAAGTGAGGTGCTAGGTAGATTGAGCACATATCACAAAGTTTGGAAATCTGTGAAGTAATAACATTGAATAAAAAAAAGAAATTGGATGTATATGTTAGAAACTAATAGATTTAAGTCCAAAAATGTAATAGTAGGAGAAAACACCATTCAGCTCAATAAAAATATGATTTGTAATTACATACATTTATATTTACATACAAACATGGTTATATACTACATTATCTTTGCTACAGGTTAAATTTGGTCTGTAGGATATATCATGAAATTAATGTCTGATGACTGAATTTTTTTTCTCTTCTAGATGAGTGTCTGTATATCCGTAAATACAGAGCTTTCCACATAAAGATGTGTGAATGTATTCATAAAGCTGGCAGGTAGATGTAACTCTCAAGTAGCCAGAAATAAACACTTTACCTCTACGAAGAGTTGGGGTAAACAACCCATTTTCCTTACTTGAAGAGATGTGTGCTAGGATTGTTAACAATTTTGAACCTATAGCAGTATGTCTAGTTTAGGGCCTAGTCAGTTTTAAAGACAGTAGAAATTTTGGAAAGAACATCGCTTTTTTACAGGTAAACTGAGGAGATTGGATAGCTATAATTTGGAGGCGGGAGCCATAGGGAGCATTTATTATGGCTTGGCGGAAGTTCACAGAATTAATTAGTTTTCCATTCCACAATTCAGACACGTTTTTACTTTTGAAGACACATTTTGTTTTGTGACATTGGTCGTGCCTTAGTTGCAATGTGGCAGCACTCTTCCAACTGCGTCTGTGGGTCCCCAATTCCATTTGCCCTTCTTTCCTATGCATTCCAACAGGCTGCCTGCGTGAGCTTGTTGATTGTCCTGAGAAACACTTTCTCGGGGTTACCGTTCATTCTGTAGGGCTGTCTATTGTTGGGCTAAGACGTTCTGGTGGTTTTGACATTGGCTGCTAACCCACCAGGTTGGTGGTTCAGGTCCACAGCCTTTTGGTGGGAGAAAGATGAGATTTATTCTACCTGTAAGGATTTATTTTGTGTGAAGCACTGTATGGTTGCTGTGAATTGGAATCGACTTGATGCCATTGTTTTTTCTTTTTGTTGAAAAATGTTTTGTTTGTTTATTTGAAAGATGATCTCTGGGAGTGAGTTCAGTTCTAGCTTTGAAGGGTCTAGGTCTACGGGCCAAGACCATAATCTCTACCATTTACTATCAGACCAGTATGTCTGATTTGTTTTGTTTCTTAAATGACGTTGAATCATGTAGTACATTTTTCTCCCTTCTGTCCAGTACCTTCTATTACGATCTTGATTGGTATGGTTGGTAATGGTAGTTGGGCACCATCTCGTCCTTCTGGTCTCAAGCTAGTGTACTTTATGTGGTCCATTAGACTCCTTGTTTCCTTGATTTTTAATTTCTTTACGTTTCTTTGTCCCAGTGAATAGTGATCTTTAAAGACTCATTATAGTCTGTGATAACCCAGTGTGTTATGTCATAATAGCCTGGCGATGTTAATTTTTTTAGGTTACAGAGATAGCTGCTAGTTAAAGGAAAGGGGAAGCAGAGGAAGAATAAAAATGAAATGTTAATAAAAAAGAAAAAGAAACGAACCCAAGGCCATCCTAATCCTAATAGCTGCTCTATGTTGTGACAAATGCAGTGAAGCTTCAAAAAATTCCCAGAACTTTTTCATTATCTTCTTAATTCAAAATTTCCTTGAGTTTTTGCATAACGTTGATATTCATAACGAAGCCTCTATACTTAATAGTTATAATATACAGTGTTAGTTTTAATAATAGTTAATATTGATTGTGTTAGTCTGGGTAGACTAGAGAAACAAATCCATAGAAATTTATATGTGTATAAGGGAGAGTTTTATATAAAGGGTAATTGTACATTAAGAAAGCATCCCAACCCAGTCCAGTCTAAGCCCATAAGTCTGATATTAGCTCTTATGTCCGAAACCAATCTATAAAGTCCTCTTCAGACTCCCGAAACACATACAATGACGCTGAATGCAAGACAATCACAGGCCAGTGGGTAGAAAGTCTTTGGATCCAGTGGCATTGTAAGCATCTCAGCACTGGCAGGGGTCTCCATGTGACTTCTCCGGTTTCAAAGGTCCTGTTGCATCAGGGTATTCCATGTGACTTCTCCATCTCTGGGCGATAGCACAGTTCCATGTGTCTTGTCAGCTGCAATGTCTCCCAGGGAGTGAATGGAGAGAGAGAGGCTTCCTGCCTCCAAGGAAGAAATTTCCAAGAATTTCCAGAATCCTTAGGGAAAGGCCATGCCCACACAGAGAAATCATTGGCTATATCCTGATTGACAGCCTAGACTCCACCCCTGCACTCTTAATCCTTAAATTGACACCAGATTATGTAACTACCACATTGATTGAACTCTTTTTTTTTTTCTAATTTTATTGGGGGCTCATACAATTCCCATCACAATCCATACATACATCCATTGTGTCAAGCACATATGTATATTTGTTGCCATCATTCTCAAAACCCTTGCCTTCCACCTGAGCCCTTAATATCGGCTGCTCATTTCCCCCCTCTCTCCACACTCCCCCCTCCCTCATGAACCCTTCATAATTCACACATTATTATTATTTTGTCATATGTTACACTGTCTGACAACTCCCCCGCCCTTTCTCTGCTGTCCATTCCCCAGGGAGGAGGCTATACGTAGATTCTTGTAGTCGGTTCCCCCTTTATACCCCACCTTCCCTTCACCCTCCGGGCATCGCCACTCTCACCACTGGTCCTGAAGGGGTCATCTGTCCTGTATTCCCTGTGTTTACACTTGCTATCTGTACCAATGTACATCCTCTGGTCTAGCCAGATTTGTAAGGTAGAATTGGGATCATGGTAGTGGCGGAGGGGGGGCAGGGAGGAAGCATTTAAGAACTAGAGGAAAGTTGCATGTGCCTACCTCAGTTATTTCCTAAACACTTTATAGATATTAGCTCATTTAATCTTTATAAGCCCCAGCACTGAAGCTACAGCTTGGGGAGAGGAGCATGTCTGATTAGAGCACACAGGAGAAACAAAGAGGGTTGGAGAGGGAGGGGAACATATCCTGGCCCACCAAGCCCTGAGGATAATATTCCTGCTCAGAGCAGACATGCACAGAGGACCATAGGGCCAGCCCACCATGAGGCATGACTGAACCCTCACTGATCCACAGTGCTGTGGGGGACAACACTGGAGACTGTTCAGTCTAAATAATTGACAGAGCTTTGAGAACCCATTAACTTCACTAATAAACTCCTAATCTTGGAAAAGAAAAAGAAACTCCCTTTTTTATGGATGAGGAAACCAAGGCACGATTTCTAAATTCTACCAGAGACTTAGTAAATTGCCTTAAGTCACATAGTTCTATCAGTTCCAGCCAGACAGAAACCCAAGTAGTTTGGTTCTAGACCACAGTCTTAATTTCTAAAACATACATTGTTTCCCTTCCTTTTGTTAAAAAAAAAAAAAAAAAAGTAATGTTTGGGAAAAGAGTGATTTTCCCCTCCTCTACTTTCTGTATCATATATCCTGATGAAGGTAAGTACTATGATTATCCCTGTGGGATTCTGCCCCACAGTTGGAAGGATCCTTAGGAGTGGCTTCTGCAATTAAGGAACGATAAGATAGAAAAGATAGGGCCCAGGTGCTCACCTCCCAGGTTGGAGTGGAGAGAATTTTTTTAACAGAACATACAGCAGAGGTGTGCAGACCTCCACCAGGCACTTACACAATAGACTGGACAAAGTGTGAACCTGAGCTAACCTGACGACTTTGGGAGAACATCTCAAAGGAAGTGTCTGGCTTGCAAGTGAACAAATGGTAACAGTCGCTCTTAAGAATAGTAAACAGCACACCCAGGATGCTGTAGAGATAAGCATATTCGCAACAGTATGTATGAGAAACCAGTCGTATGTAGGAAGTAACTTATAGCGAGTATATGCGAAGAGCCTGTTTCCTGGAGAATTATGTACATCTGGACTTCACGATTAGTAACTAGCATCTAATAAGCAAAGGAGAAGCTGGCTCACAGCTTGCTAAGACCAACAGAACTTTGCTGCTTTTAAAGATAGGCATCTTACAGTAGTGAAAAGTCAGGTGCCCATGAAAGGCAGTTTATATTAGCATCTTAAAGAAGGGCATTTGTGGAGAGAACTGTTTCCATCCGGAGAATGTATAATAGGTTTTATCTCTATCTTGGAACTGTGAAAGCCTTCTCTCACGAGAGCTGATCTTCCAATCTCTGTGGTCACAAGTGTTGAGACTAGGCTGCTTACACCTACATCCAGGTTCTTACTTCCCCACAACCCCAAGCTTATAGATGGGGGCAGTGAGATTAGGGGGCTTTTCTAAAACACAGCGGCAGTGCAGGGCTGGATGGATGGAGAGCCCATTCTCATTTAGAATGTAGACCTGGAAATACCACCCTAAAGATAAACTGAGTTGATTTTGGCTCCCACTTAACTGCTTACAATTCAGCTTTTTGTTTCTTCTAAGTCAGTTCTCACTAATCCATTTGTCTTGCAGCTCTTTTTCCTATTGCTGGAAATTTTTACTGCCCTTTTCCTTTTCTCTGTTTTTGTGGCCTTATGCCTTTAAAATACCTTTATGGCCATTTTAACGGGGTTTGAGGTGTAATGAAATTAAAGAGTGTTCAGTCTGTCATAATTATCTGGAATTTCCTTTTCATTTAGTTTTTAAAGTTTTTTTTTTAATTGTGTTTTTCCAAAAAAGTTGTGTTTTTCTAGGAAATTACACTTCTCTACTTTTCAAATAGGTAAATAACAGTATTCTCTTTCATCTGTGTTGTCTCTCCTGTTAATATTTTTCACTTTTCTTTTTAAAAAGTAAGCTTGTCAAAGGTTTTGTGTGCTTTATTAGTCCTTTGTTTTTATGTTACCTCATTTTAAAATTTGATACTTTCTATTCTCACCTTATTGCTTTGGTAAAGTCTTTTTTCTCCTTGTGTTTAGACCCTTGTTACTTAGTTTCTAATGTAAATACATTCTAGTGTAAGAAACTATTTTCAGAACTCTATGATGTAGCTATATTCCAAGTTTTATGCATAAGAACATGTGCATTGAAGTGACGTGCAGGCTCGGCCGCTCCTCCTTCCCTGAAGCAGCACGACGGCCATGAAGGCTGAAGAGATGATGGAATGCCTTCAGGAATGTCCTGAACATCACAAAATGATCCTGGACCGATTGAATGAATAGCGGGAGCAGGACTGGTTTACTGACATCACCCTGATTGTCAACGGGCGTCATTTTAAGGCCCACAAGGCTGCTTTGGCTGCTTGCATTCATGTTCTTCCTCAATTTTTTTTCCTATTGTAAATTCAAATGAAAATCATTAGAATACAGGTTTATGTATTCTAGTGCATGTTAGAAAACAATATCTAGGAAACACAAGGATGCATGAAGAAAAGTGCATTGTGACTGTGCAGTTCCATATTGGCTTCTGGCTTCCTTGAGTTTGAGTAATGTTCTTGTCGACCCCGAGAGTCACAGGTGCCATCTCTGCACCGGGTACTGAGTGGGGGTGGCAACATTTCTAAAATGTAAACACAACAACAAAACATGCCCATGTGCCTTTCCAGCTTAGTGTACTTAAAGGGTCTCTGGTTCTTTCAAAGTTTGTGTGGTAAGGAGTGATGTAGGTGATGTTATAGGGTTTTACATTTTGCTTATAAACGTGAACCACCAATTCTTTTTCATTGAAGTTGAGTTGAGGAATTTAATTCAGTGGTACCTGAAGTGCCATTTCAATTGGGAAAATTTATTTACATCTGTGGTAAACTTTATGTTGATGAAAAGTTTGCACTAGTATTTTACCACCAGATGAAAAAAATGAGCATCGTTTAAGAAATTAATGTATTTAAAATAAAGTGCAGAGAAAAACATGTGTATAATATATCAGGCTTTGTTTTGAATGGAAATCTTAACTCCCCCCCCCACCCCAATCCTTAATGTAAAGATCTTGTGCTATAACTTTTAAAACCATACAAATAAGAGTGCTAAACTGTGGACTTAAAAGTAGGTATGTAAATATTTTTAATTAGTATTACTTGTAAAATAAAATATAACAACCACATAAAATAAACCAATGTGCTATTTTCTTTACCTATTGAATACTGGGAGAATATTTACATTTTTAAAGTTAACTTTAAAATAAAATAAAAAACGTGCGTTAAAGAATGGTATATTGTTGTGTTCTGCTGAATCAACTTTAACTCTTAGTGACCTTATCGGACAGAATAGAAATGCCTCATTGGATTTCCAGGACTGTAACCTTTATGGAAGCTGATTGGCAAGGCTTCAAGCCTGAGGAGCAGCTGCTGGGTTTGAACCTCTGGTCTTTAGGTTATCAGCCAAGCATCTAGCTGTTATGCCATCAGAGATCCAGAGAATTTTTACTTGAAGTTACTTGACAGTAGGGTAACAGTCTAGGAAGTTTTGTTCTACCATCTGTCATACAATGTTGACCTACATGATCAGAAGGTCTATGGGAAATCCAATTATCATTTTTAAAATTCTAATTTTAATTTTTCATGTGACGCAATAGAAATGTGTAATATATATATAAAGTTACGGTTATTATGAAAACAATGAGTGTATAAGGACAAATATTCCAAAGGAACAATAAGGCATTTGTTTTATTATTTTGGTAGGTTACTTAGTTTTCTTTTACTTTCATGTGTTCTCTTGCTTTGAAGCCTTTAATGAAAGACTTTGTTTATCTGACCAGTTAACTTGGATAGTGTATGTGCTTCATTAATTCAAAGTCAAATATGTTAATGATTATTCTTTATTCATGAGCAGTTAGAGCAGAAAGGCAGACATTGCTGTTTTGACCTTCTTTGGGATCGGCGCAGAATATTTCAAGCAAGCAGTTAGGTTCCGGGGGTTGCTCTTCTATGGGATGATAGCGTCCCGTCAGGCTCGTTAACGTCGTGGTTCTGATGACTGCAGGTGCTGTCTGGAGACGCAGGAGAAGATGCAGAGTGTCACGCAGCCAAACTCCTCGAAGTCATTATTCTTCAGTGCAAAGGAAGGGGGATTGATCAGGTAGTGCACATTGGGTGGTGTCTTACGTGATGCTTACATTTAAAATGTATTTGCTGATTAACATTTTGTTTATATTATGATAGGAATGTAAAAGCTTTTGCCTGCTGGTGTGAATCTTTGTAAGTAATAAGGAAACAGACAATCTGAAAATGATACGTTGCATTCTAGCTGAGAAGAGGATACTCAGGAGAATAGAATGTTACTTTTAATACTTAAAAATGCACTTAGTAGTAGTCATCACTAAAAATAATGACGATGATAAATGTGCAGATTCTACTCAGTTGGGTTCCCAGAGATGTGTATGTGCACTTTAGTTTTGAGTGTGCTCTTTAGATTCGCCTGGTGGTCTTTTCTAATAAGAAATTTTAAAACTACCAGAAAAGGAAAAATAAAAAGAAATATTTCTCTTGATCAGTTCAAAAAGTATTTTCACAAGATAATTTATTTACACTTTTGTGATACGATGTTCAGTGGCTGAGAAGCAAGTTAGTTTTCAAGTATAATTGTGGATTTGTCTCAGCTCTGTGTATTTTGCTGTATAATTTTTTAATAATGGCTCTATTGAGCTTTCATTTACGAGCCACACTTGTAGTAACATTGTCAATAGTTACATCAGATGACCTAGCTTTAATGTGCTGAGTCTGCCTGTCCCCTTCTGTCTTTTTCTTCTTTCATGTAGACCAACAGAAGTTCTTAAAATTCTGATCACACCAGGCTCAGGATCAGTTCTGTTCATTTATCTCCAACTTGATTTATATAAGGAGAACCCTGTTCTAGTAGTTTACCTTAAACATTGAGATTGCTGTGTCCTCATTTTAGAGTGTAGACTCCATGTTCCGTCTTTCTCAACTCTCATTTGTATTTGCAAAGGAAGGCGACTTTGGACAGTGCCCTGTAGGACCACCTTTGAGCTGTTTAATCTCTGTATGGAGCTTGGTCTGCAAGACTGGCAGTTTAAAACCAATGGCAGCTCTTGGGGAGAAAGACAGGCTTTCTTCTGCTGTAAAGGGTTTCAGTGTTGAGAACTCATGGGGGGCAGTTCTACCCTGTCCTTTAGGGTTCCTGTGAGTTGGCGTTGACCTCACGGCAATGAGTTTGGCTTAGTTTGGTTCTTACCTCTTCAGTTTTAATGAGAATATAAATTGGCTTAATAATGCTAAAAGTTATTTTGTAAGCAGAAGTTTCATAGACTTCATTAAAATGCTGGTAGGTAATTGTTAGGAGCCTTGTTGGCACTGTGGGGTGAGTGTTGAACTGCTACCTGCCAAGTCAGTGGTTCAAGCTTAATAGTTGCTTTGTGGGAGAACGATGAGGCTGTCTGCTTCATAAAGATTGTTACAGCCTCGGGAACCCTATATAATGTCTCCATGAGTCCAGTGGACTTGAGGGCCGTGGTTTTCTTTATTGCTCACTCTGTCTTGCCAGTATTTGGCCCTCTGTGAAAGTCACTTGGGGAAAAGTCACTTGGGTGTTCTGTGTGTTTGACTCTCTTTCTCTCATTCTTCCTCCAGTGCATTCCACTCTTTGTTCAACTTGTTTTGGAGAGATTAACCCGAGGTGTCAAAACTAGTGAGCTCCGGACCATGTGTCTTCAAGTAGCGATTGCTGCCTTGTATTACAACCCTGATTTACTGCTACACACATTAGAACAAACTCATTTACCGCACAACCCTGGGCCTATAACTGTTCAGTTTATAAATCAGTGGATGAATGATACAGATTGTTTTCTTGGGTAAGTGTCTTTTGAACTTTATACCACATCTCTATTTCTGGAAAGTTAACTTATTAATAGGCACCTAATTGCATGGCAGAAACCTAATGTTTACATATTTATCATTATGTTTAGTATATGATTAACAATTTATATAGAATTAAGAATGTGTTTTAGTTCTAATAGTTCTAATCTTGTGGAAAGAATGCAGGGTCTGAAAGTTAAACATTGCCCTTCAACACATTTTTGCCTTATGTGTATCATTATATCTCTAGGCAACAAGAATTAGGTGTCCATAAGATTTCATGACGAGCAAGTGTGTGTGGTTGAAAACATTTGAGATGGAATCAGGTTCCTAAGGAAGAAGGCAGCAGTCTGGCAAAGTGATGGGTGCTGTTTCAGGATGTTTCACCCTTTGCGGATCTGTTCTCTATTGTGGGGACAGAGAGATTGTTAGTGTTGGCCCAGTTGCTGGCCTGGTAGGAGCGCTGACTTCTGTGAGGCACTCCACAGGTTTTCTCCCATAAGAAAGGGACGTTCCAAGTAGTGGAAGTCTTCTAAAACGTACGGGCAGGAGTTGGAGGAATTTTCAAAAGTTCATGGGGAAATTTCATTATTGTTCACTTCTATTTTTCCATGAACCCTTGAAGCCTCATATTAGTGACTGCATTATGCTAGAATTTGAGCTAGTTTGACATCTGCTTTAATTAAAGCATTGGGAACACGTGTTATTTAAGTCTTGCAAGGCATTGTTTAGAAATATTTGTGGAAAGGAGGACTTACTGTTCATAGTTGGGAGGGGATGGAGGTCAGAATTAGGATGGTAGACTTAGAATGGGGGTGGCAACAGGTCGTATTTCCAGGCTACGAATTGTGGGTACATTACGTTTTTTGCTTGTAGGAGATTGGGCCTTGCCCCTAATTGAGATTTCCTTTTAAAGCCTTGAAAGGGAGAAACATACTTTTGAAATAAGTTGTGTTGAAGATTTAGGAGGTAGAGATGTGGTCATTCACCGTTGGGCAGCTGAAAAGCTTATGTCTCTGTTGGCATCGATGCACAATTTCCAAAGATAGAAAGGCTAGCTCTCTAAGCTGTTGAATGCGCTTGGCATCACACCTGTGCTTCCTTGGATTCTTTAGAGCTCCTTTCACTAAGCATCTCAACTGCGATGGTCAAGTGGCACCTGGTGCGCCCTGATAGTTATGTGCTGCATGCATGAAAAGACCAAGTCTGGTCCAGTTCTGGTCCTAGCACACTTCTATGGCATTAGTAACTGTAATGAATTAAGCAATGCTAATGAAGAGGATAGTGGAAGCATGTAATATATAATAACTTCATCGTAGGGTTTATTCTGTTTATTCTAGTAAGCTCATTAAACAAACGTGGGTGACGGGAGCCAGCAGATGGTGTAAAATATGAAAATAAAAATAAATGATAAATTATCAAGGGATCACGAGGGTGGCAGGATGGAGGAGGGAGGGGAAAAAATAGCTAATACCAAGGGCTCAAGTAGAAAGAAAATGTTTTGGAAATGATGGCACCATATGTACAAGTGTGCTTGACACAATTGATGTATGGATTGTTATAAGAGCTGTAAGAGCCTCCAATAAATATGATTTATTAAAATTAATAAACTCCCATTAAATAATTAAATCACTACAAAAGTGCAAAGGGAATCCAGCCCCTAGCACATCATCACGGGTCCGGTAGGTGCAATTGTACAGCGATAATAAGTAAAGATTAGAGTAAAGTCCTAGAGAGCATGGGATAGAAGAGAGACTGAAATAATGGAGTCACTCCCCCCACTACCATGATCCCAGTTCTACCTTACATATCCAGCTGGACTGGAGGAGGTACACTGGCACAGATAGGAACTGGAAATACAGTGAACCCAGGACAGATGAACCCCCCAGGACCAGTGGAGAGAGTGGCGATATTGGGAGGGTGGAGGGAAGGTGAGGGAGAAAGGGGGAACAGATGACAAGGTCTACATATGGCCTCCTCCCTGGGAGACGGACAGTGGAGAAGTGGGTGAGGGACACGTCGGATGGTGTGAGGTATGATAAAATAATAATTTATAAATTATCAAGGGTTCAGGGGGAGGGGGAACGGGGAGGGAGGGGGAAAAATGAGTTGACACCAAGGGCTCAAGTGGAAAGCGGGTGTTGTGAGAATGATGAAGTCAACATATGTACTAATGTGCTGGACACAAATGATGTATGTATGGATTGTGATGAGTTTTATGAGCCCCTAATAAAATGATTATTAGGAAAAAAAATGGAGTCAGACACAATTCATGGTAGCAATGCTCACCTCAGCCTTCCTTGCTGGTCCACGTGGAGAGAGAGAGATAATTAATGCTAACCAAGGTTTTTATATTCTCTGGGGACATGCAAGCCCCCTAATTACAGGTGAAGACATACATCACAGGAAAAGGTTGTGCTATAGGAAATACAGTAATGGGAGAGGGTGGTCTAGGGGTATACATGCAATAGGAAGAGGAGGGATTGGGGGTATACATGTGGCAAGATGGGCGGATCCTAGATTCAGGCTGGCAACCTAACTTGGATGTCACTGAGCGGGTTTGACCTGTTCCCTGGCAGGGCGACTGACTGCCTCCAGGGAGGATGTCTGTAAGCATCTGACCTCCCCCCCATATGCTAGCAAAAAGCCCCTAATGTTTGGCATGTCTTTGGGGGAGACAAAGCTGGGGAAAAGTCTCTTTATAATCCCACACAAAAGCATTTTGTTCATATCTGTGTTCTAAAATTATTGCACTGATAGAGTATTCTTTTAATTCTTAATTTTTAGTTTTAAATGTCAATTTCAGACTCCCATAGATTTGACAACAGAAATTCATTTACAGGATTTGATTTATAAATGATTTCATATACAGTAAAATCTGTGCAAGCCAGAAATGGTGTAAAACAGGAACCTGTCAGAAAAGGAAAACACAACTATTTTGCTCTAATAGAGAGGATAGAAAGGCGGCCAAACTGTACCCATCACAGGTGGGACACTTGTGAGATCCAGAGAAACCAGCCAGTTTCACTGTCGTGAAAACTCACTTCAGTGAGTGAACCGTGGAATATACCTTGAGTGTTTTCTCTTTGTAGTTTCTCTAGGTTTTCTCGTTGACTGCACTTCTCAGGCCCGTATTTTTTTTCCCCTTTGAAAACCTGCAGGCATCACGACCGGAAGATGTGTGTAATCGGACTGAGCATCCTTTTGCAATTGCAAAACCGGCCTCCTGCAGTGGATGCAGTGGCTGGACAGATTGTTCCCTCCATTCTTTTCCTCTTCCTCGGCCTAAAGCAAGTCTGTGCTTCCAGACAATTGCTAGACCGAGAAGGTCACTCAAAAGCAGAGAAAGCTGACATAGAAGAAAATGGTAAGGTCTTCTAATTATACTGAATGCTAGGATTGCTTTTGATTTGAGGGTTTCTGTTTAGTTTTAGTCTGTTTAAAGCCTTAAACCTTTTCATTTTTACATTCGTTGACATGCTGCAAATATATGCTATATTAACCTGCTGTATTAACATCATCTAAACTTAAATTCCCAATTAGTTCTCCCTGAGCTAATGAGTGCTGTCACACATTGGGAATTGTATTTGTAACAGAGCCACATGGCCCTGATGGGGAGTTAGCAATGCGGTATCTTACATTTTCTGAACTAACAGCTCAGAGAAGTCACTGGTCTGCAGTTTAAATAAACCATCAGGTCAAGACCGTAGTGTTGGCATAGCAGATTAATGAAGAATGCCTGGTTTTTTATGTTATTTTTTGAATGCCTTTTTTTTTAAAGGTTTTTTAAGTTGCTCATTATCAGAGGTTGTAATTGAGAGATACATTTGTGTTTAAAGTTTATGAATTTAGAATAAAGTACATAAATGAAGATAATGTACTTAATTCAAGAATTGGTAAGATTTCAGTCAAGCATATTAAAGCTTTATTTTATGTAATATGATTGCAAAACTTCTCCCTGCTTGGGTGCAGGAAGTAGCATTATTCAACTGCAAATGGAGTTATTCCTCTTGTATTTTAAAACACATTTTTAACAGAAAAAAACAGAACCCTTCCTGGAAAACATAAGCTTTTAAAGCTAGAGTCTATGGTGTTAACATGCATAGATTTAACCTGTTTTGTATTTAAATTGCCATCATTTCAGTTTGTGTACAAGGAGTTGTAAACTCCCTTTCCCTCGCCCCCAGCCCAAAGTACAACTTTTCATTTGCCTCGTTCCTGAATTCTTTGTAGACTTTGTTACTAGAAGGTACTTTATTTAACAGTTTTTTCAGGAGGTTTATATTAATGATTATAAGATATATTTTATGGAATATACTCTAATTTATATTCTTGTTATGATGCTCTCTTTTTTTGTTTTCCTTACTATTTATTAGCTTAAAAAGTCATGGTTTGCAAGGAAACTTTCCAAACTTTTGCGTCTTAATCCTCAAGTTTTTAAAAATCATCTTTGTGATTATACTTGTACCCTGTTTTCTTTTCCTTTCCCCCTCCTCTTGTACTTGGTCTGCACTATGTCTTCTTGCCTTATTCCTAGAACTAACTTGCTGTTTCATCCAGGGGCCTCCCTATGTTCTGCTGACTAGAATGAGTTTTAGATTAATTTTGTCTGGTTTGAGATGACTATTTCTCCTCTTAATATATTTATTATTTATGGCTAGTTATACTGGTTCAACTGCTGGGGACACATTGGTACAGAACACAAATGGAATCCATGTTAATAATGCAATTCAGCTCTTAACCTTTCAACCCACATGTTGTAATGACTTGTATTTTTTATTTTTGCATTACATTGCTTTTGCTAGTTCTGTTAGCAGAAGTGGCCTCCTCATTTGGGTGTTCCCGAGCAGTTCAGCATCAAATTAATTGTTGGAAAACTTTTATGGACAACACACGCACTGACAACTGCCCAATAACTTCATATCTTTATTATTATTATTTAACAAAGAGAAGCTAATAGAGAATCTGTAATTATGTAAAATTCTTGTATTGATGCATGAGACAACCACTGAATAGCAAAGTCCAGCTGGATGACAGATTTAGGGATAGTGGGAAATTACCGTCAGAGAGAAAAGTCATTCTCAGTTTAGCAAGCTATAATAAATATGAGGAGTAGTCTTACAATTTTTGTTTTGCTTTTATCATTCTGTTTTATATTGTGTTTCAATTCTCTTTAATCATAACGGGTTCACAGAGGAAATTTCAAGTGATGAAGAGGAGACAAATGTAACTGCTCAAGCAATGCAGTCAACTAATGGGAGAGGTGATAATGAAGAGGAGGAGGAGGATGACTGGGATGAAGAAGTGTTGGAAGAAACGGCCCTGGAGGGATTCAGCACCCCACTTGACCTTGACAATAGTGTAGATGAATATCAATTTTTTGCACAAGCCTTGCTAAGTATGTTAATTTCTTGAATCCTCAGATTTTTTTTCTGAACAATTTGATCATCTCCTTCTGTTAAAAATTATTTTACATCATACCACAAATTGAAGTAGACTTTAAAAAAAATGTTGTTACTTTTTTTATGATAGAAACCTCAAAACATCATTTTACACCAAATAAAGAATAATAGGATAAAACACCCATCCAGGCATAACCCAATCCCAGCAGCCTTCATTACTTTAGAATGATAGGGTGAACCTAAGAGATGGCCTCACGCGAAAAAATAATTTCAGACACGTCTATCTGCATATATTTCTTATTCATGGTCAAGCCATGTTACAGAAAGAAACACATTGTTCTAGGCATTTGTTGCTTAAAAATTGTGACCATAAGCTTATTAGTAATTCACACAACCTACAGTAAGGAATGGGAGAAAGAAGAAGCTCTCTGCTCCTGTAAAGAGTTACAGTCTCTGAAGCTCTCATGGGCAGTTCTACTGGTGGCATACTGGTTACGTGTTGGACTGCAATCCACTAGGTCAGCAGTTCAAAACCACCAGTGGCTCTGTAGGAGAAAGACTGGGCTTTCTACTCCATAAAGAGTTACAGTCTTGGAAATCCTTGGAAAACCCACAGGGGCAGTTCTTACATAGGGTCGACTGTGAGTCGGCATTGACTCGATGACAGTGAGTCATGATGGTTTACTATGAGCTGGAATAGATTCGATGGCAAGGAACCAGAAGTTCAGCTGCCTTAAGAGCATGTCTTTTAATTTGACAATGTTATATAGCAAAAATCACTACATTGTTATTTGGTGCCATTGAGGAGATTCTGCTACGAAAAACAGCATGAGCCTGTGTTGACAGAGTAGAACTATTTCCTAGGAGCAGACCATGAGCTTTTTCTCTCCGTCAAGACACTTGAGTTTGAACCACCAGCCTCTTGGGTAGCAGCCAAGCTGTTACCTGTTGTCTCACCAGGTTCCTTAAAGACACTCTCATTGCCATTAAATAATTTTAATAGAAAATGGTAAGAGAATATTAATAAGGAAATTATCATGAGACAGAACCTATAAATATAACTTATGATTGCCCCACTGTTGGATTTATAAGATTATTTCCAGGTATTTGCTATTACAAGCAGTGGTAACGTGAGTATCCTTGTATATAAGCTATTGTTAGTAGCAAGGCAGTAGGCATGTTGACATTATTTAATATTATAACAAATACCATTAAAGAAAATAAAAAGGCTGTTTTTGTTGAAGTTTAGTATAGTGCTATAATCTGGGAGTCTATGCAGTATTTGAGTTGTCCATAAAGAGAGAAGCTTGAGGTGGAAGAGGAAAGGCGGCTTGTGATCTAGTGCTTCTCGGCCGTTTACCGAGCCGTCCACGAGCATAACTGCGCCTCTCCCTCCGAGCAGTTCATGTTAAAAGGTAAACTAGTAAGACGTTTGTAATGAAGGTTTTTCTGGCAACCAACTTTTCTTGTTATTTTTAGAAAGCCCTTTCCCACTTCAAGATCTTGTTTCTTTTGTTTTCTTCTAACATTTTAAAAGGTCCTCCCCCTGCCCCCAGATCTTTCATATGTGCTGAATTAATTTTGGTGAATGATATAAAGTATAGGGAGCTAACTAACTTACTGTCAAAGGTACAGTCCATTACCATTTTTAAAATCATCTAGTATTTCTGTAAGAAGCCCTGGTGTCACAGCAGGTTAAGCATCAGGCTGCTAACATAAGATCCAGTGGTTCAAGCCAACGAGCTGCTCTCTTGGATAAAGATGAGGCGGCCTGCTGCTCTGAAGACAGTCTCACACTGGACCAGCCCACAGGGCCCCAGACGGTTGCTGTCATTCAGAACGGACGCTGTGGCAGTGAGTTTGCTGGTGGTGTTTATTTTGATTGCTGTATATGCTGCTTTTGCCAAATACTTTTGAGGTTTCATTATTATGGATCTGGATTGTGTAAAGAACTCTTCACTAAATGTGAAAAATACATAAGCCAAACCAAACAGCCAGGCTCATTGCCATTGAATCCATTCTGATTCAGTGAGGGCCAGATACTGTTGCGGGCATTGCGTTGAGCTGCTCACCATCAGGTCAGGGGTTCGCACCGCGAGCCGCTCCCAGGAAGAAAGATGAGGCTTTTCACTCGCATAGTTTTATAACCTCGAAAATTCAAAGGGGCAGTTCTACTCTGTCCTATAGTTTTGCTATGAGTTTGAAAAATAAATATAAAGAAGGAAAATTCATCTAAGTGCCACGGGTCATTAGAACTTTCAATTAGATTATTCCCACAATTCTCACAAAAATACTATAAAATAAGAAAGGTAGTGATATACTTATAGACAGGAAATAGTAGCTCAGAAGAGTTAACCAACTTTCCTGCTCCTGCTAAATGGGAGGTCCAGGATTTGATCTTGAGGTACTTAATCTACTTTTTGTTACTAACCATTTATGGAATAATTTTCAATAAATATTCATTGAGCACCTGTTCTGTACAGTATAAACATGGAGGGTCTAAAAATAGATCATCTTATCCCTATTGTCCAAAAATAGTTGGAGATCAAAAGAAAGGAGCACCGAAAGTCTCTGTAGTGAGGGGGAAGCTGCATAGGAGGCCAGCGCTGTTTGCATCTGTGATGTTTTGTTAATGTGTGAGGAAGACAGGCAAGAAATGTGGGAAATGTGATCAAATACTGAGGTTTTGATGGCGCCTGGAGCTACTGTAGGTACTTACTGAATGAGTTATCAGACTTTGTTTTATGTGAAAGAAGACAAGTTCACGATGTTAAATATAAGTGCCAAGTGAGTGATAATATATGTGCTGTGGGTGTTAAAAGCTCAGCTCTAGTTTTGTGACCTGATGGTCAAAGACAGGGAAGGAACTAGGACTTACCTGGAGTTTGAAGGTAGGGATGGAAGCAGAGACCACAGTGAAACAGCTCCTCCGAAAGAAAGCGTGGGGAACAGAAGAGCATCCAGGTAGAGCCGGGAGCACGGAGAGCTAGTTCCAAGGCGCATGTTTCCAGACAGGGCTACGCGGCAGAATTGCCAAGGAAGCCTCCAGGCCTTGGTTGGGATCTTAGAGCATGCATTTTAATAGCCCTTCTGCAGGCACCTGGGGAGTACTGCTGAAGGGCGAATGTGACCCGGTGATAGCTTTTGCACAGTATCCATTTTCCAAGAACTTTTGGATGACCCATTGTCCTTTAATAATTTAAGAGTAATGAGGTCCTGGAGGGCGTGGATGGCATTTTAGAGAAACATTTAGATCAGCGGTTCTCAACTTGTGGGTCGCGACTGCTTTGGGGGTCAAACGACCCTTTCATAGGGGTCGTCCAATTCATAACAGTAGAAAAACTACAGTTAAGAAGTAGCAACGAAAATGATTCTATGGTTGGGGGGTCACCACCACATGAGGAACTGTATGACAGGGTCGCGGCATTAGGAAGGTTGAGCACCACTGCTGTAGGTGAACGGACTCGATGTGCAGAACATAAGATAAAAACGAGATGAGCTTATCTGTCTTCATTGGAAGATGGATAGTGTTAGCATTGAAAGTGGGGAGAGAAAAGGATTTGGGGGTAAAATTCCTTTTAGATAAAGGAGCCCTGGTGATAGAGTGGTTATGAGGTGGACTTCGATACAAATGGTCGGCATTTCAAAACCACCAGCAGCTCTTGGGGAGAAAGACTGGACTTTCTGTTCCCCTGGACAGTGACAGTGTCGGAAACCTCCAGCAGGTTGCTGCGTCGGCACTGAGTCCTGGCAGTGAGTGGGAGAGAGGGTGAATGGCGCTGTGGGGTAGGTGTTGGGCTACTCACTTGAGGTTGGGGACCCAAGCCCAAGAGGTGACCGATGAGTAAAAGATGAGGCTGTCTGCTCCATCAATATTAATGTCTCAGAAACTCTGTAAAGGCTGCTTTGAGTCAGAATTGACTCTATGGTAGTGGACGGGTGTTGACTTTGAGGTGAGCTGTCCAGTGGGAAAAATTCACTAGGCTTTTGGAAAGGTTTGCGAAAGGTTCAAATTTAAGTCCTGGTATAGGAGTGCTGCCAAAGCTGGAGATAGTTGGCAAATGCCAGAGAAGTATAGATGCTTCCCGGAATTTTAGGAAGCAGCTATAGTAAGAGGAGAAGACAGTTACTCCAGAGGCAGGAGTCAGAGAATAAGGCAAACCAGAGATTTGCAATGCCCCAGACTTTTTTTTGATATCTCTCCGTAGTTGGGTACTTAAGTGGTCTTCAAAAAGAATCCTTTGCTTGCATCAGTTTCAGCACTTTGTGTCTGTCATCGACATACATAGACATACACTGTTTAATTTTATTGTAATTTTATCATGCCATTAATTATTCTCTGAAACAATAACTGTCACTGGACTGTTTTCTTGCTTTCTGTTCACCATCTCTAAAATGCAACAGCTGTGCAGAATCGGGATGCTGCATGGTACCAGCTGCTGGTGGCTCCGCTCGGTGAGGAGCAGAAGAGAGCCCTGCAGGAAGTTTACACCATCGCTGAGCACCGAAGGACAGTGGCAGGTCAGCCAGAGTGATTCCCAGACTGGATGGATGTGTCAGGGGCCAGTAGCCAGCCTTTTTTTTTTAATGAACCAGGTGACATCGAAATACTGTTTTAAAACTGCTAGAGGACAACCCTTCAAGATAATAAGGAACTGTTACTATTGTATGGTTGTACTTCATTTTAATCACTTATAATAACTTAACTGCAAAAATCTGTGCATTAATATGTGTCTACAGTAATGTTCTTATTCACATTCGTATCCTATTTTGGAGCCCAAGGTAAGGAGTCTAAGGGTTGGGATGAGTCTTGCTGAGGAATTGTTTACCAGCTGACTCACCCATCGGAACATTTCAACCAAAGGCACCGTCTGAATTCTCATAAGGATCTTGGTTTCTGGAAATGAGATATACTCCCCATTTCTGTTTCTTGGGTGTTAGGAGCTGGTGATTCACTGAGCCAGAGAAATTCTATCTTGTAGAGATTCATGTAGGAAATTAGTGGGAAAAAACTTTTATTACAAAATCATGGAATAAGCATCAAGAATGTAGAACTCGGCTTCTTCCACTTCTGCGTCGATGTCAGTCTTACAGAGTCTGTATCAGACCTGCTATGACAGTCAGGAAGGCCTTGGCGGCAGTAGAGACAGGGGAGCTAATGAGTCACCATGAGACCTGTTTTCATTTTGCTTATTTCTAGCAAGTAGTTTTTCCCTGATTGTAAAATACCTGCTGACAAGGCCCTTGAGAGTGGTCAGGGCGGTAGACTAAGTAGTTCCGGGAGTCCGATTTCTCGGGCTAAGTGTAAAGAGCCTGGTCCTTTGAGGTATTTCCAACTCTGTCCCTTAAGTACTCTTCCTTTCTTTTTTGGCTTTCTTTTGGAAAATGCTAGAGGCAAAGAAGAAGATTCAACAGCAGGGAGGCTTCACATTTGAAAACAATGGAGTCCTCTCTGCATTTAGCTTTGGGTCTATGCCCAGCAACAACTGAGGGAAGAAACGTCAACGGACCAGAGTTTTCTGCTACATTTTATGTCCCCAGGGTGGTGTGAGGCCCCGGGAGGAAATGAGGGCAGCCTTTCCTGTGCCCTCTGCTGTCTGGTGGCCTCCAACACTAGGCAGTGCTTCTCTCCACGGCCTCCTCGTCCCCTTTGATGTTGGTCACTCGGAAACATGTTTTAAACAGCTACTGTCATGTATGAAAGAAAGAGCAATCATTGAGCTGAAAGGACAGATCGCAAGCTCCAAAGGAAGGCTGTCCAAGGTAGGGCTGCCGTGCCGTCTCAGGTTTGCCGTGCAGAGTCAATGGATTTACGCGGACAACAGTGCCTTCCTTCTGCTGTACATGAAGTATCGCAAACTTTTGTTGGCGTGCATCGCAGTTTTTTTAAAGCATAAAACCTATTTCCAGATAAAATGTAAACCTTGTTGTATGTTGACTTATTCTGCATTTGCCTGTGTGAAATTTTACTGTGAGGCAGTTAGCCGTAAGTCACTCTGGTTTCAGAAACATGCCTGCTCCTCCTTGCTCCGCGGCCTGCGGGGGGCTTCCTGCAGCGGCAGGGGTTGTACAATATGCACTGGCTCTGGCTTTTCATGCCAGGTTTTGTGGCTTTCCGAAGAAGTGTCTTATTCCCTCTTTCAACATATTTTTCAGGCCTGAAAGGGGTGGTATTTCTTTCAGGGTCAGCAAATACAAGTCTCAATTTCAGTCAGAGTCTGATACGTTCAAGAGCCTAGTCTCTTGGTAGTCACTGCATATTCTGTGCTTTTCAATCCCGAATGGATAATGACACCTGAGCACACTGAACTTCTAAGAGGAAGGTGCTACGTAAGCACGCTGTCTTTCCGGATGGGGGCTTGCATTTTCCATAAGCTAGCATTCCAGATGTGTTGGACCAGGGTCCAAAACATTTTATAACAGCGTTTTTCTATTTAAGAAAAAGACCCAAATAATGATAACATCTTCCTTTGTCACACAGGAATTTCGCCCTACTTAAATTGTTCTAGTCTTTTTTATAGTTCAGTTTGCCTTCTTACATTTTCCAAGGGTTGGAAATACTGCTCAGCTGTGTTCTTAGCTTGTAACCATGTAAAACAGTCCGTAGCAAATAATGCAGGTGGGGGCGATAGCTGTATCCCCTACACTGGGTCAGATGAGAATATAGAGCATAGTGTTTTTACTCAACAAAATGATTAAAAGGAAACACCAGATTTTCCATCTCTGTGGAATGTGTGCATCTTAAATTTCCCCAGTGCCTCCGAAATGTTGCCACCCCTTGTTTGTGCTAGTTATCCAGGGCCACGCTAACAGGAGTACCACAGGTGGGTGGACTTAACACACCAACTTTTTTGTCTTCTTAGTTTGGGAAGCCAGAAGTCCACATTGGGAGCGTGCTGCTTGCTCTCTTGGGAGGACGCCCTTGTCTCTCCTGAGCTAATGCTCCTGGGCAGCCTGCATCTGGGTTGGCACCTCTTCCCCTGTCTCTGCTTTGCTGGCTTGTTAACGTCTCTAGCTCAGAACTCGCCCTACATCAGTCGTGGCTGTGTCACATAACACAGTCCTTCTTCAAATGGGACTGTAGCCGCAGACATAGAGGCTAGGATGCAAAACACGGTTTTGGGGGACACAATTCAATCCGAATTTTCTGCAGGTGCTTCCTATAGTGCTAGCCCTTGTTAATTCTAGCTCTTTTTATTTGAGTACTTTTACAGTAGCACCTGAAGAGCCATGAGCTTCAGAATCTAGTCTTCTGCTCTTCTTTCGCCATCTCTTTCTAAGATTGAGGCGGAAATGTGTCAGCTGGCCACTAAGAGGAAATTGACATTGGGAGGGGGTGGCAGTTTTAAAGGTTTTAAACTTTGAATCCTTCTTATTCTACTTATGTCCATAGAGTTTATTCTTAACATAAATAGTATGCCTTCACCCAGGATTGTAAAAGGCATGTGGTTTTAGGGAATTTATTTTGTGACGTTTTTTATCTTCAGTATTAAAGGGCAAGAAGTATTAATGTGCATCACCCTTTCTTATTTTTGAAGCCAGGGTAGTTGTGTAATTTTGTTACCAGCAGTGCAACACCGAATGTGATCCAGTTACATTGGAAATGCAGAAATTTATGAATGTACTGTAAAATAAAATGCAGATTGACTCCCAGGCCTCTGAACTCTTGTGTGAAATGCTTTCTGAAATCTGGGGGGTGTTCAGGGTCAACTGGCATAACGGGGTATACATGCTACTTTGGGGTCTTAAAAGCTTGTGAGCTACCCTCTGCACTCTGGGTCTCTCCTTGTTTCAAGGAACAGCATGAGGAACATCGGAGACACGTGTGTTACCTACCCTAAGAAGGGTTCATGCTCTGGAGTAGCAGAGAAAATTCAACAACTCCAAGTTAGAGCAAGAAGGTCACACCAGTGGGGAGTCCAAAATGATGCAGACTGTATAGTCTTATTTGAAATCCGAATACGGAGAGATTGCATGCTTCTTAATTTTGAAATGCACAACCTGGAGGAATCATGTACCAACAAGCAAATAAAATTTTACTGCTGTCAAGTCACTTCTGACTTACAGCCACCCTGTACGACAGCAGAACTGCCCCTTTGGGTTTCCAAGGCTGTAAATTTTTTGGTGAGCAAAAAGCCTCATCTTTCTCCCTTAGAGTGGCTCGTGGTTTCAAACTGCTGACCTTGTGCCCAGCATCCCAATGCGTAAACCACTACACCATCAGGGCTATCAGGGCTCCTTATATTAACTCAGATGTGAGGATAATCTTGGCATGCAATTGTTGACTACTACCAAGCAGACAGAACAATAAGGTTCCGTAATTCTAAGACAATCTCAGGATGTCTCGGTTGACCACCCAGATGGCAGGATCAGCTTTAAAAAAAAAAAAAAATCATTTTATTAGGGGCTCCTACAACTCTTATCACAATCCATACATACATCAATTGTGTAAAGCACATTTGTACATTTGTTGCCCTCATCATTCTCAAAACATTTGCTCTCCACTTGAGCTCCTGGCATCAGCTCCTCACATTTTCCCCTCCCTCACGAACCTTTGATAATTTATAAATAATTATTTTGTCATCTTGCACTGTCCGACGTCTCCCTTCATCCAATTTTCTGTTGTCCGTCTCCCAGGGAGGAGGTTATATGTAGATCCTTGTAATTGGTTCCCCCTTTCCAACCCGCCCTCCCTCCACCCTCCCAGTATCACCACTCTCACCACTGGTGCTGAAAGGATCATCTGCCCTGGATTCCCTGTTTCCAGTTCCTATCTGTACCAGTGTACATCCTCTGGTCTAGCCATATTTGTAAGGTAGAATTGGGATCATGATAGGGGGCGGGGAGCATTTAGGAACTAGAGGAAAATTGTACGTTTCATCGTTGCTACATGGCACCCTGACTGGCTTGGAAGGATCAGCTTTTGGGATACTAACAAGCAGGTGAAACGAATAGATGATTTTCAGCATTAGCTGGACCTTCCAGGAGACATCTTCATCTAAGATTTGTGCCTCTTGGCAATACAGAAAGCAATTCCACAGAGTGAGGTGAGGAACAGGCTGACTATAGTTGTAAAGAACCACATTCAAATTCCTGAACTGAGTGGGTGAAAAATGTGAAACAGAACTCAACCTCGTAAAAGAGCAGGTTTGACTGGTTGGACAGAGACTGCTAGGATCCCCAAGAGTATGGTTCTTAGTCACCCTTCAGGTCTGGAAATGGCCCCGATGACTTAATTTTCAGCCAAACTATATATCTATAAGGGGAACACAGTAACACTACTGAGGTGCATGCCTTAGATAATCAACCATTTAAGATCAGAAGGGCAGCACTTACCCCAGGACAAAGTTTAGAAGGGTTAGGGAAAGAAAGAACGGAAACGGAAGATGTGGGCTAAGTGATGTTATGTTGTGGGGATTAGAATCAATGGGGTGAAACAAAATGTATATGGATTATTGAAACATCTGTAAACCGTCACCCAGTTCACAAAGTTTAACAACAAAGAAAAGCTAAATTAAAAGCCTAACACCATTCAACTGATCAACAGCTGTGCTAAACATCTGATGCCAGTTCAAAAGAAAAAAAAGATGTGTGTTTTAAACAGGTGATTAAAAAGTCCGTCCATGTGTTGGCTTGGCTTCTTGTCTGGGAGGGGGACACGAGTTAATCTGAGTTGGTCTCCCGGGGAGCGGCAGCCCAGAGCCCATCTCTTAAACCTGGGCGTGCAAGCAAGAGTGATGGACGCCCTGCAACAGCAAAAGCCTTTTGGCCGCATCACCTTGAAGGAAAGGCGGAGAGGGGATGCCATCAATTTGGGAGTATTCAAAACTGGCCTGGCAAAATACTGGCCTCCTGTGGCACTATTTGTGTGATGGTAAATCCTACTTCCAACCGGTTCGCCTACAGCCAGTGAGCCGATTCTGATTCCTAGCAATTCCCCAGGGCTAGCAGACTGCCCCGTCTCTGCCCCGGGGACCCACCGGTGGGTTTGAACCACCAGGCTTTGGGAGGCTGCTGAGTGCTTAACTGCTGCACCACCAGGGCTCCTTCCCCACATCGATCGACCTCACAGTGACATCTAATGCCTAAATTGTTAATGAGTGACGAATTTGAAGATAGGAAATATGTTAAAGTGTCATTTAAGATTTAGTTATAAAAATCATAGGAAGCTCCGGTGGCCTACTGGGTTATGCAGTGTGCTGTTAAACTCGAAGGTCACCAGCTTCAGTATAGTTAGCCTTCTGGCAGCCTGTAGATCGTACCGGCTGCTCTTCAAAATAAAGAGGAAGCTTTCTGTGCCTGTAAAGATTTCCTACCCCAAAGGAGCAGTTCTCTGCTGTAGAGGGTCGGCAGGAGTCAGAATCAACCTTGATGGCAGTGTTAAGTTTTGCTTTCTAAGCACCTGGTATAGTATGCTTAGCTTATGTCTGATCCTTAAACAGCCATTTATTTTCTTACTGGTTAATATGCATGGTTAATGTGGTTAATACCACAAAGGAAGACACTGATAACACCTAGATTGAGAAATGCCACAAGATCTAACATACCATACTTGAAATTGAATTTACTTGCTGAATTACAACCAAAAAGTATCTAAAGGAGGCCACTAATTTGTTTTCTTCTTTGATCTGTGATGCTTAAATATTTGCTCCATGTGTATTTGGAGGAGTTGGGCTGACTCTGATTTTTATGAATAAAAATTGAAGATTAATATTTTTAAAGTAAAGAATATGGTGTATGTTTATTACAGGAAGTTTGCCAAGCCAGGTTCAGTCCCAGTAACCCCAACAGTAACATTCAATTTCATTGTTTTTAGCTACCTGGAATTGCTGATGTCAGAGACAGCCCCACTCAGGTCTCACTTGAGTGACATTTTCATATTGAAAAAACTTCGTCAGCCCAGGTACCAGCAAGAAGTGTATTTCTCTTGAGGGTCTTGTCTTCTCTGGTGGGAGTGAAACCAGTTTTCACGCAAACAAAACTCACTGCCATCGAGCCGATTCCACATCATTGCGACCCTATAGGGCAGGGTAAAACTGCCCCCGTGACTTTCTAAGACTTACTTTTTATGGGAGTAGAAAACCTTGTCTTTGTTGCTATCCTTGCTGTTAGCAGCCCAGTGGTAACCACTATGCTACCAGGGCTCGTTGGTTTTCACTGCACAACTTAAATGTGGAATTGTGCTGGACATCCCCTCACAGAAGGGTCACCAGGAAGGGCTGAGCCAGCTAGGGTGCAGTATAGATAGCATCGATGAAACACAACATTCCTCTAGTTCTTTAATACTTCCTCCCCCTTCCCCACCCCTACTATCATGGCCCCAGTTCTACCTTACAAATTTGGCTAGACCGGAGCATGTACACTGGTACAGATAAGAGTTCTCAGTACACAGAATCCAGGACAGATAACCCCCTCAGGAACAATAATGGGAGAAGCGATACCATGAGGGTAGGGGGAAGGTGGGAGAAAGAGGAACAGATTACAATGATCACCTTACAACCATTCACCCATGGGGGACGAACAACAGAAACGTGGGTGAAGGGAGACAGCAGTCAATGTAAGACATGAAAATAATTGCTAAATTATCAAGGGTTCATGAGGGAGGAAAAAAAAAAAGAGCTGATACCAAGGTCTCAAGTAGAAGGAAAATGTTTTGAAAAGGATGATGGCAACATATGTACAAATGTGCTTGACACAATGGATGTATGGATTGTTATAAGAACTGTAAGAGCCCCCAATAAGATGATTTTAAAAATTTGGAATTGTATTTAGAAACCTTTGTTACGTGACACTGTATTTCCACAGTAGCCTAGTGAGACTTTACCACTTCTTACTGGTGGTACTGCAAGCTGTTCCCTCGCAGACCAGCTCCTTAGTTGGCTTGTGATTGGGGAGGATAGCCAGGGATTTTGTAAGGGTGGAAACCAGTCAGGTTACCAAGATTGTTTACTCTGTGCTCACACCTGACCACCTGACAGCTGCTGCCTTCAGCTCCATAGGTGGTAGCCCACACCAGGTGTTCGAACTGGTTTATTCAGGTTTGGCCTTTTGTCCAGCCTCCTTGTCTAGAGAAACAAATGCAGTGACTTTCATCTATGTATAAGAAAGAGCTTTGAGTCAAGAAGTAGCGCTATAGTGAGGCATCCCAGCCGAGTCCGGCTCAAGTTCTTAAGTCTCATGCTCATCCATAGCCCGTCTTTAGTGTCCTGTAGCTGCAGGAAAGGTGATGCAGGAAGGTTTTGTGGATCCAGTGTTGGGGGAACATACCATGATGCCTCCCAGAGTAGTCCGCCCCACAGGGGGCTGCCCCTGGAGTCATGGAGGCAGGAAGGCAAAGTCCCAAAGAGAGCCAGGTTCCCAGTTTCTTGTAGCAGCAGGCCACACCCCAAGGAGGCATCATCAGGCTGGGATCTGACCGACAGGGGGAACTCCACCTCCATGCTTCGAAAAACTCAAGTTGATAGAAGCTCATCGAACTACTACAAGCCTGCTGAGAATGTTCATTTGCACCCCAGACTTACTGTATCAGAATGGACATTTTAGCATGATCCTCAGGTGGCCCTCCTGTATGTGCCCCCAGCTGTTCATCTGGAGAAAGGTGGAGCAGGGTGCTCCGACACTGGGGCTTCTGTCTCCGTCGTGTTCTCGCGCTCTC